ATAACGAGGTTAGATATTTCTAATTTGATTTTGAGAAATGCCTTTGTGATCATTATTTTAATTACAGTAAAATTGATGCCGTGTTACCGCGATGTCAGATTTTGGGCGTTTATACTTCATGTTATTTTCATTTGTTTTGCATTTGTGATGTAGAAGATTGTCGAAGGATACAATTGTCACTGAAAAATTGCTGAATATTCTTCTTTTCAAAATTTGTATTATATCAATTGCAATTGCAGCTTACCTTAATGCCTGCTAATGGTCTCAGTTTTGTTCATTTTTTCATCGGAATAGGCTCTAGGTGGGCGCACTACGATGTTCTAGGCAGAATCCCTCAAAATTGTATTTTAGAAACATTTCGCAAATCCATTTTCATTAAATAACGTGATAATGCTTGCTTTCGAGAAACCGAGAAATCACTGGTGTAAATCGTTTGTCCCCTCTACAGTTTTTTGAAGTGATCTAGTTTTTTTCTCTGACTGAACAGCATAGATTTTAGCAGAGATAACTCTGGAACGTAATCTTTACTTTTCGAAACGTTAGCGTAGAGTATACTATTCCATTTCTTTTCGTTTGTTAGATTTCTAGTTTGTAGAATTTGAGATGAATTTCATTGTAACATTTCTGTATCGTTTAAGGCTAGTATTCAGTAACTTTCTATTATGGTTAATGACATCGTTCATTGCAACATTTACAGTCATTTTTTAATTGTGCTTAACGATTCGATAAGTGTCGCCCTTAGTTGATAGCGATATTGACATGATATAAGAATTGGTTCGAGTTCATTATGTCATATTATCCTGAACATTCATGAACAATGTCGTTTGTCCATTTCTGACTTCTATTTTTCACTTTTAACTTCTAGTTCATGAGTCGTCATCCGTTGAGTACAATGAATCTTTGTTGTTTACGGCATGTTTGCGTTTGTTAGAATGCTTTGGTGGTAAAAAAGGCGTAGAACACAGTTTGCTTTTACTTAACGTAAAAGACACTGTAGTCAGTCCAGTGACTGACTAGTACCGACGTTCTGGACCGTGTGTAGTAGAAGGCCTTCTGGCTCAGGAACCGTTGGCTGCTGCAGACGACCAACCGAACTTAGTACACTTCACCACCAACCTGTCTTGGAGAAGACCCGGGAGACACGGACGGAACCGTCGGTATTGATAAGTCACCTGACTGACCGTTGTATCTTTTGTAAGTGAAGTGTGTTTTACGCTATTTTTTCATGTTTGCTGTTCAGGTATTTCAACAGTTGTTCGAATCTAAGTTGTCTATTATACATTAGTTCAGTGTAGGATAGAGTTTCAGTATTAAACATCAATGATCAAAATGCATCGGCGATCTATCCTCTGGGTCTTACATTCCATTGCTGTTTACTGTGCAAAAATTCTTTTCGAAAAACCTGTTTAAGTACTTAAAAGTTGAGTCTTCTCTCACAAGTCATGGGCTCTTTAAATGTCGCTTCATGCCATTTCATTTCGATTTAACTGCTGAGTTTACTTTCCGGTTTTGCACGGTAGCGATTAGATTATCATTTCTGAATGTTTTTGTTCCTGTTTATAATGTTGCTTCTGATCAATCACCTGTTTTTGTCAACTTCACCTTGACCGATTAGTTCTGTTTACATATATAGGAAGTTTTGCAGGTAATTGTTGAGTATTTTCCGTTTTTAATTGTTTGATGACGAATTATTGTTGGATTGTCATTTACTTGTAATGCTGCAAATATGACATTAAATTTAGCTGTCTGTCAGTCCGAATGTTAACATAATGCTTAGCCTGTGGATCCACTTTTGAAAGAAGGTCGTTAGCATATAAAGTTATACACGGTTCCTCGACTTGATGATCAGTGCTGGAAAGTATGTGGCTATTTGCCTGGTCACTGATATGTAATGGCATATGTCCTAAACCAAACGAAACAGTATTGAAGTGATTTGCGAGTTTAAAAATGCCCTGGATCAATGTTCCACTTTTCTTTGCGAACTTTGATTTGGCGAAGCCTGATTTTTTTTCGAAAGGGATGATGATATTTAATGAGTGAAGGCATGCTAATATTTAATGTTTCGAGGATTGTCCTTATATTGGATGATTCTGTAAAGTACAACACGTCCCGCTTTACACTATTCATCAAAGGTCTGAAATTTTTTAATTCCAGTTATTTCATGCATTCATTGGAATAGAGCTTTGTGTAAATTCGTAGTAGTCTCTGTCTTAGAATGTTTCATTTTCATGTTTTGCGTCTTTCTCGGATGTCTGGTGTCTGTGGTTTATCCCTAGACGCATTTTTGCATTTTATTAATAAATTTTTCAGCAGTAATGTTTTTATCGTGAAGCTGCCATGATTCTTCAAACAGCGTTTATACAGTTTTTAACAGAAGAGTAACTCCCCATAGGTTATACTTCATGACGTATTGCACCATCATCTTTCTTCTAGTTGCCTGAGGTGGTGCTTTAATGCGATATGCATCTACCACAGCATATTCTCAGTTACCATACAGTCACAGTCTATTTAACCATTTATTTAATTTAGCCATTTATTTATTTATTTAACGTTATTTAACATTATTATTTAACTCCATCTACAGACTGGAAGCAAATGCTTTTTGTGATAATCACATATGAGTCGTTTGAACGCGCAAACCTTCTGCGTTATATTGGCACTTTACAGTACTTTTTCTATAAGGTGCCATCAATGCATGTATAAAGAGCCATGCCATTCCTTCACCCTGTTCATTATCGATGTTATATGCTGGTCTCCTGTACCTTCGCTCTATTTCAGTTATGGCACGAGGAGCTCACTGGTTTGGGCAGATGGTGCATGCTCAACCGACTTGTCTAGCAGGTTGAATCTCCTTTCCTCTATCTCCCACATCTGTATTGGATATGTGTGGCTGAATCGCCTTACGTAGTCCTAGCATTTAGCCGTCATTCTGCGTCGAAGCAGCGCGGTTATAGGCAACAGTAGGGGCAAGCGTGAATTGCAGTGCACCGGTAAATCTGGTCTTCAATCAGTTATTCACACATTTGCTCACTCAGTTTAAGAACGAATACTTTGATGTAATTTTTCGAAGTATGCATCATCATTATCAAAATGTATTTGAACTTAATCAGGAGAAATGTCGATCCTTATTCAGATGCAGCAATCTTACAAAATTTATGCCCCTTCTTTTATGATGTACATTGGTTTGCTTTTAGACGATCCAATTTCAACCCTACAGCTGAAAAATGGTAGGATGAAAAAATTAATTTATGATCTAATTTACAGAAAATTCGCATTACAGGGTATTGATATTGATCACAGACATCTTAGAAAATCAGTTCGTCGGGCGCCAGAAAGCAAGGATCCATATCTGCTTCTTTTGGTCAAGGTATGTTAAATGTCAGTATTAGTTCCGAAAGTATTAATTTACGCCTATTTTAGTTGTATCGATTTCTGGCACGACGAACGGGGGCAAAATTCAACAAGATAGTCTTGAAACGTCTTTTTATGTCTAGACGAAATCGGCCCCCTTTGTCTCTGCGAAGGCTGATTTACCTCACTAGCAAGAAAGACCAGAAGGGCAAGTTGGCAGTCGTTGTTGGAACCGTTACCAATGACCTGCGTGTTTATAAAGTCCCGAAGCTTCGCGTAAGGATGGGGATGTTTTGCATCTAAATTTTAAATTTTGATTTGAAACTCACGTAAAATGTGCGGAAGTTTTATTAGCGTGAACCAGTGAAGTATCTGGTAATTAATAAATGCGTTCATTTTTTCATGTATTCAAAACTAAATTTCACGTTAGTCATTAGTCGCAAGAATTCGGAATTTGGGCCATTTCTCCGATATAATGTGGCCTATGGCAACGGTGTTATTATACTGGTTAAAGTTTGCTCGTTCAGGTATCTTGGGTTCTGCCTCTGAGTATTCTGCATTGAAATGATAGGACTTCATTCTGAATTTTTTAAATCGATTTAAGGAATTTTTTGTATATTCTTATGTTTCTGGCCTCATCACATGATCAAGGTAGCAGTTTTGCTGGCCATTATTTTGATGACGCCATTCGTGGATGGCAATCGTCTTTTCAAGATTCTGTTTTAAGGTATGTGCTCTTCACGTAACCGAACAGGCACGTGCGCGCATCCTTAAAGCTGGGGGCGAAATACTGACATTTGATCAGCTTGCAATTGCTGCTCCGAAGGGAGAAAACACCTTACTCCTGCAAGGTACGATTTTGTTTCCTTGAAGGTAAATTCCTTCAGAGTTGTCATTTTTCAGGTCCAAGGAAGGCGAGAGAGGCTGAGAAACATTTCGGCCCTGCTCCAGGCGCTCCTCATAGTCACACTAAGTATGAGTGCATATTGTTAATGTATGCTTACTATGCGCCATTTACTTCAGGCCATATGTTCGTTCCAAGGGAAGAAAATTCGAACGAGCTAGAGGTCGCAGGAAGAGCCGTGGTTATAAGCATTAAATGCACATTATGCGTTGTTGTTGAACTGCGCGCTGGAATGCTATTAAATATCTGGATTCATGTAAAGGAATATTCATTTTGTTGTGTCGCTTATTAAGCTTAGATATCGTGTACTAATTATTGCACTGTAGTCAGTTATCCGATGAGTCAAGTTGAGAAATCTTTAACCCGCTTTCATCAGAAAGCTACCAATTAATCTCCTATTCACGTCTGACCACAGCAAAACATTTTCATCACTGACTAGACAAAGACAAGGAAGCGATGATGATAGCAGTCATCAGTGGAGGAGTTTCTTGCTCTGAACAGAGACGGGTAAGAGTGTGATGCCATTATAACAATTGAAATAAGCATGCAATGGAGCGAGGTTGGAAGTGGGAGATTACAGTCAGACATTGGAGCATCTTACGCCTAGGTAAAGAGCAAGAGCTAGTTTATAAGCACCGGATTAATCGACTGGGTAACGTTGCAGTTCCCTGAACGAAGTGCTATGACTAGAATTTTTTCCCTTGTGTAGAAGCTGGAAGTGTTTTATAAATGTGTCAACTTTATGACGCTCTCATTCACTGTTAGTAAAAGTCAACCTTAACTGAGAATAGATGTCTCTAAGTGATGTCACTCGGCTGAAATTAGAACATGAAGCTTCGGTCTCTTGCAGGTCAATGCGCCCAATTCTAGCGGAAAAAATGAATGCTTCCTCGAGAACTAAGAAGGTACTCCTTTCGAAGTCTGGACTACAGAAATGATAATCCTAATGGGTGATAATAATTTCAACGTGCAATTCGGAGTGGACATGGAAAAAGGAACGGCGCTACGGTTCTAGCGAGTTACATAATGAAGTTGTTGCGAGGTCATGTAAACAACCATATACCTAAAATGAAAACCGAGCTTCCCAGAGTGCATCGGTATAACGGGCACGGGGAATCCTGTGCGCAGAAGTCATTGACTGATTTGATAATCTTATCGGTTACAACGACGTCTATAGCGAATGTTCGCCTCAGAGAAGGCGCAGAGATCCCAGTCGATCATCACTTTGTATTGTTGGCACTCTTCACTGTATATTCAGCTGCTAGAATATTGTATGGATAGCATTATTTTCTGCCTGGTCAAAATTTGATAACTACATCACACCGCAGTTTGATTAGAAATCAATGACGGCCGTTGACGCGGAAATTTGGCAGAAGCTGCTTACGGCTTGAAACAACAATCAAAGCTGCCATTTAAAACGGGTCTATCTAAAGACTGGATGTCGCAAACGAAATTTCTGCTGAACACGAATGACTCAAGTTGCCATGAACGAGAAAACTACCTTCGAGAACTGGCCTGACGGCAAAGAACTTCCATATCGAATTCAGCACCAAAAAGCGTCCCAGACTGCAGCAAAGGGAATGGCTTAATCAAAGATTAATTCATGAGAGAAGTATTTTTAGATGTAGCAGCTCATTTTGCAGACAACGGTGCATGCTTTATGACAGATCATACGCTGCCTCCGAGATGGAAAGAATGGGTAGAGACACCCTCATTCCAAGAATGAAAATGTTTCAGATATAGAAACAGTTTTTAAGGAACTTGCTAAATCCAATAAGCCCTCAAGAGGGCTCACTTGAAAAGCGGTCGCAATAGATATTTAGTTTCAAGCACGTGAAGCCAAAGAGCCAGTTCAAAACTTTGCCAGTTGCAAACCTGCTGGAAAATCAATTTTTCCATGACAAGTTTAAAGCTTTAAGCGAATTAGGCATATATATGTATCTGTGAAACTAAAGTAGTCGTATAGAAAGCAATTGTGGACCACTAAACAGAAGATCTAGAACCCCTGTTCGAAAAGGGTGACCATACGAAGTGAGACAATAATTGGAATATCGTTTTACTGAACCTCCAAAAAAAGTCTCCGCAACGCAGGAGTCGCTGAATAAAACTCCAGTAAGTCATAGAAACAACTGCATTGTTTAAGTTCAGACCGGTTAACTTCTAGCCAGCGCTTCGCTTTACGCCAGATTGGTTAAAAATCGTGAAAATTCGCATATTCATCTTGCACGTATTTTGCTGGCAGTTGTAGAAAGCTGATTTCCAGACCAGGCGCCAAAAACCATGCCGTGCCTGGAATACTGTTAGATCGAAAACCAGTTAGTACGAGACATTCTGTCACTCTGCACTGACAGTAATGCATCGTCAAAGAGCTTAAATAACGTTTAGTCGGAAAACCTTAGTCCATGAAAGGTTTTTCCAAAGATGCGCTCTCTCTTGTTAGTGCTGTACTGCACAAGCACGATAACTTAGGGCAGCAAATTCGATGATTTAATCAGTTTAGAAAGCCTAAATTTACTGCTCATGAGCGAATATGTCGTGTTGCCGTTGTCTAAAACCAGTTTTCAACAGTCAAGGGAAACACTTTATCAGAGCTCGGTGTGGCCGTAACACACATTAACGTGGCCCCCTTCGTGAGAGAAAGGCACGATGATTTCTTTTTTTCTTGTCCATCACACTTTGCAGAAGCAGTAGAGAGATGGAGAAGCGGACGTTCATGCGGTTCGTATTGAATGCTTTCCGTGAGGGTTGTGAACCAGCCAGTATTTGCATAACCGGATAAAAGAAAGTATCAGAGTATTTTCGTTTCCATTGGCAAGGAAAATGCTGTGCTGAAGATTCACGTTATTTTCTGATTAAACTCAAACGCTTGCACAAAATTTGTAACACCGGGTTTGCCTCTAGTCGACTGCCTGACGCGTCTGTCTCTGCGACCAGGAAGATTCAGCAGGAATCGAAACTGATGGACATAAATCTTGAACTACTTAGTTTTGCAAATTCTTACTAAAATTTAATTTCAGACCTGTTCATCGTTCCGGTAGAAGCTTCTTCGGAAGGTAGCATCAATGCCACACCTTCCCTTATTATTTCTAGGATTTTCTCTCAAACGATTTATGATCCACTCCTGTGTTCTACATTTACGTGCATTTTCTGATGCATCATAATGCAGTATAACACTCTGTTTGTTTGCAGGAAAGCTGCCATATTTGTGAGTTTGTTTAAGATACAATAACGGAGGTTAACTACCTGCAAGTACGATACAAGTGTAAATAGAGCCTGATAAACACTACCTAGTAATCAAAATTGTTTAGTTCGGAATTACTGTGGCGCGTTTGATATTCAAATATGTCTTCGCCGCCACAGAATCAGACGAAAGAAAATGATTCATTGTATCCGATTGCTATATTAATTGACGAGTTAAGAAATGAAGATGTACAGGTAATAGTATTTTAGCTACATGTATTACTGAACTTGTAATTTTAACAAAATGACTCATAATTTGCTCTCAGAATAGGTGATTGTTAGACATCGACCTATATGCGTCTTAAAATCTCACAGTTGCTAATTAAATTCTATTGAATGTCTGCTGCTGGCTATTAATAGATTTAAGCTAAATAGCAGTGAGTGGGGAGGCAGTTTTTTCTCACATGTTCCATTCGAGGTTTATGTTATTTTCTTGTTTTTACTCGGTGCATTTAAAATAGAACTGCTTTAATAATTTCTTTTTCTCACTGTTGAAAATTTAGAAAATTCGGTTGGTTTTGCATGGCGTCAAATTTGAAATCGCATTTTTAGGGTATATAGCATATCGTTTAGTCTAGTTGGCGTTTTATAGATCTTTTTATTGTGAAATGTTTAGTGCTTCTTGCTCTTGGCTAATAACGGCAGCTGACGCCCTTTGAGTGAAGTGCGCTTTGCACGTGAGTTGAACAGTAAACCTTGTCTTAATTTCCTGCATGACTGTCATTGTGCTCACATGGTGCTGCGAATACCACAAATATCATAAGCCAGAGACACTCAGCTTATTGAAGTAAGTTGAGGGGAAAATCTCTGGTGACACAGCAAGAAATATCAAGGCGCTTATTCTTGGCCTTTAGCGATAGAGACGTTCGTTGTTGTCGCATAGCTTATGATCTATCATGTTTTATGCAATTGCAAAAATATTCATCAGGGTTGCAGCGAAAATATTCCAAAAGTATTGTTTTGTAACGCTTCTCAATTTTTCACGTGTTTGTGTGACTTTGTGAACATTATCTTTTCATGTGTCTAGTGTCAGTGATTTTCCACCAGTCAGTCTGTTTCCCCTATTATTCATTATTCATTGTCTCATTGCTGTGTATTTTGATTGTTCTTGTGCATTTTATGTATGTTCATATGCCAGTGGGGGGATGATTGCTGAAATGTTAGTCGTAGCTAGTTTTGGTAATTTAAGCAGTATACTCTTTCATTTGATTAACTGGCTTAGTCGGTTTTAGCTTCGTCTCAACAGTATACGGAAGTTGTCTACGATCGCTTTAGCGCTGGGCGTCGAAAGAACCCGTACGGAGCTGATACCTTTTCTGACGGGTATGCTGTCCATTTATGTTTTCTTTTGTTCACTGGGAACCGGTTTAGACACAATTTACGATGAAGATGAGGTATTGCTTGCGCTCGCCGATCAGTTGGGTAACTTCACGCCACTTGTTGGAGGACCGGAATATGTTCACTGTCTGTTGGTATGTCTTGAAATTATTTCTTTGAATTTGACCATATTGTAGGCGACTGAATCGTGTACCTCTTTTTTGATTCCTGGTTACCTATAATAAAACATTTACAACTGTAAAAATCAAAAACTCAACAACGTTCCAATATTTCGATCGAATCAGCCTCGCTAATCTTCAAAATATAGAAACCTCAACGCCCTGGAAAATGTCAGCCGCTATTTGACTGATAAGCAGAATGTTATTGTCCTTGATTTAAGAGACAGTTATTAAATTTCATGACTTATAAACTCCAAGGGAGTTGTTGTAAGTTGCAAGTTGTTGCAAGGTCCAGTAAATATCATATGTTCATTTTGTCGTGGTATTGATCAATCACTGTCGTTGTCGCTGGTCAAATCATAGCGATTTTTGTGAAGTACGCTTAAAGCTGCAATTAGTCACCATGACAGTTTAAAATGGTTTTCATGTGTTAGGTTTTTACATGACCGATCTTTTAAATTTGGCCACAGTTATTAACATAAAACTTAATATACCACATTTTTGTTGTCTTTGCTTCAGATAATGATTGTCTTTCTGATAAATTAATTATAAAAGCCCTTTTTTTACCGTAGTTAGTGAGTAAAACAAATTCTTGTTAATTTTTCAAGTTGGTAAATGAATTTAGACGTGCATCTTATCTTTGACAGACGTAACTTCGCGGACATTAGATGGTTAACCGATTCCTTCTTTGTGAGTATCCTGCAGTCGTAGGCGCACACACTGATAGAGGTCCTTGACCGTTCTCCTTTTGGCGGCCTGGCACCTCAGATTTTTACCTCTCATCAGCCGAACACCATATTGCCCATATAATGCGGACCGAGGGACACACGCAGTTCAGACTCCCACCTTCACATGTTGTCACTATTTGATACTGTTGACATGCA